CAAAGAGATGAGAAAAAAAATGCAAATAGCTTACCTGCTCACCACACTTAGTCTTTATTATTAGGTTAGAGGAGGTGGAAGGGTGGGAGACACTACACGTGTAGTGTCTCGGGTATTAGTTACTTCCCAAATTTATTGGGTGAAAGAAAACCGTAACCCAGCCAAACACTCGCGCCTGCTCTGGGACTCCTCCTCCGCTGAACAACTGAAGGCCGCAGTCACGCGAGGTAAGACTTTTATAACGAAAGCTTAACTTCCCGGCTGCCCTCGCGCTCTCTCCCGGACTGCCGTCGCTGAACAACTGAAGCTATATACCTATGATTCTATATACCTACATGTTTGTTTTTCTATCTCTCCCTAACTGTTTGGGAGTCCATAGTACACTCCCAGCAAAGTGACTATCCCCTTTTTGTTTTAATTCCACCCATATGGCCTAATGTGAACAACATTCTAAGATATCATCCCTCCTTACTACAGTAATTGACTCCTTAATATTTCAAGCCCACCTCCTCCTTTAAATTACCCTACCCCCATCTCACCTAAAAATTCTATCAAACTACTGAGCTGCCAGTCCTGTCCCTTCCCCAACCCTGTCTTTGTAATCGCAATGACCCTACATCCCCTTGCATTAATCAACACCCTCAACTTATTTACTTGCAAGACTCCTTTTACTTAAATAAGTGCCATCCAGCTTTGTCACGCTCCCTTGTGTGTTATCATAACTATATTTGCACTGCCTCTAGACTGACTTGGTCTTTCTTCTATACTTCTCTGTGCATCACCCCCTACTACACCTCCATTCAACATTCCATCCCCCTGCCAAATTAGTTTAAGCAATCAGAAACCACACTAGGAAACCTCCCCCCAAAGATATCGATTCCATTCCAGTTCAGGTCTAACCTGTTGGACTTGATGTTCAGGTCCCACTCTCTACAGAATCTAAAGCCCTCCATTCTGCTCCAATCTGTAGATTTAATTTTAGACAAAAATATTCCAAAGAAAGAAAACTGATCCAAAAGTGCACATTTCCTGGAATTTTGTAATGGTGTTGTGGGTCTACTTACAGCACATGGACTGCAGTGGTTCATGAAGGGAGCTCACCAACACCACCAAAAAAGGGATGGGCAATGAATGCTGGCTGAGCCAGTGATGCTCACATTCCATGAACATTATAATCTTGATTTAGCTGGTCATAATAATACTGCAACAATCGATAGGTTATACCTCATTCATCTGGTCTTCAAATTTGCATGAGTTTCTGTAAAGACGAAAGCCTTCCAGAGCAGTCAAATTGCAGCAAAAATAGTTTGAGTTTAAGACGCCTTTTTTGGAAAGGGGAATACTTCAAAGCTGCAGCAGCTATTTATGAACACATCGATAAGCTGATTTGATTTTTACATTTTTTTTTGCCTTAGTTTGACACAGGCTCAACAGTGTGGGCTAAAACAGTTGAGATTTGATACCTAATCCTGTGGAACCCCTATGGCAGAAAACTGAAAGCAATTTCAACACAAGAAGTTCTTTCACATCCAATGCTAGGCCTCATCATCGTCTTAACACTGAGGTCACAACACATAACTTGGTCTGTGCTTGGACTGAAATTTCAATAAACTTCTATTTGTCCTCAGCAGTGTGGCATTTAACATTCATCAGCAATCGACCTGAAAACAGGATGGAGCTCTGTGACATTCAAAAAGAATACTTTTATGTTGATTGCTATTCAACAGAGCTAACATAGCCTGCGGCTTATTGACTCTCGCCTTCGTGGCAACTTAGTCACTCTATAGTGTTGGAGTAAGTAGTTCAATTGTGATCAATCCCACTTTCCACATGATAATCAAGGGGGTATTCATTCTGCCATTGTATTAAATCTAAAATCAATGTAGCAGAATTAACTGTTGCAAACATTTCACAAGTGGAAATTAATTTAAGAAGTTGCGCTGTCTATTTTCAACAGCTAGTACAGAGAATACTAACAAACCAAGTGCTGACGAATTTAAATAAAACATTTGGTATTGTTCAATTATTGAACATTTCTATTTACCTCTTTCTAAAGTATTACGTTGTACAATGAATGCCTTCTAATATTATTTCTGATTTTGCTTATTTTCACATCCTGAAGGAAACATATCTTGATTTCTCAAAGCCAAACTGGTTTCAATTTATTATATAATATTCTACATTTGATAAATATGATGATTGACCGAAAAAAAGGCATTTGGAAATGGTCAACACTGAGCAACTGGCATTACACAAAATCATCGAGGAAAATAAGCACATTATGCTATTAGCGACATAATGAGAATTCCTTTATCCATTTGCAAGATATATCATCTATTCAGTGTATGAAAAACTAGCATAATACTGTTATCAATGTATTCTTAATTAGAAGCGTTAAATTTTAGCTAATAGTTGACATCTGTTGGGTTATTTTTAAATGCATAAAATAGTGAACTGCTTAAGTAGGAATTATAAAATGTAGAATCGAGAACCTAAAGTATTAAAGTAAAAATTGTTAGAATCCAGAACTGGAATTCTCGAACTCCAAAATCACCAATTACAAAAATGCTAAAGATAAACCTTGAAAAACCGGCAAATGCTTAAAGGAAAATATAACCATTGGTCACGGCTTCCTACAAAATTTAGAAAATTTAGAAAGCAAACTTATTTTCCTAATCCCAGAAAATCTTACCTGAGACTGAGACGGTCCGTGTCCTCAATCCCTGTTTTTCACTGTTTGACAATCTGAAAAATGAATGAGAAAGACGCTGAATGTTATGCATTTTCTGAAAGGTCCAGTACGCATTCATTACTTCAACCCAATGTTGCTTACAATAATAAGCAGGTTACAGAATTCCCCTTCTGACACAGGAAAATTGTGACGAATAGGAACTACCATCTGAGTGTTTTGTAGGGTGGATGAATATATACAACACAATAAAGCTAAAGCTGAACATATTTATGTCAGTTTGTTGCAAACTGAATTTCCGATCTACAAACAAACATTACAGCTTAATACAGAACAGTGATTTCATAGATTATCTTGTAAATGCGAACGGGAAAGCCAACAGGATCATGCATTATGAGAAGGCAAATGTTGTCCCTGCAGTATGGAAAGCCAAACAGCGAACATAATTCAGTCTTGAATAAGTCTCATGTTGAATAATAATTTACCGGTTGAAAGGGGAGAGCAAGCTCGGGAGAAAGAGAGGGAGGGAGTGTGCGGGGCGGCGGGGGGATGCGGGGAGAGGGGGAAGGGGAGAAAGCGAAGGGGAGACAGGGAGAAAGGGATGAGCACAATCACCACCATGAGCCACTATGATCCCATTTTGAACTGACTGGCTAAACACTCCACTGCTTTAACTCCCTGCCTTTCTAAAAGGTGTTCCTAAAACCCACCTCTTTGACAAAGCTTTTTTCATAGCAGTGTGAAGTACCTTGGATCATTTTCCTTTATTAAATTGCTACTGTTTTGTGTGCTTTTTTAAAAAGAATGGTCAAATTTGGGGTAACATGGAGGTGAAAATCATGATCAAAGGAATTCAATTTAATTGAAAATCTTAACCACAAAGTCCAACAAGAGAAACAAAAGCAGACAAAACATCCAACATCAACCCAGGCACTGTAAACAACAATGGTATTTATTTCCCACTTGACCCTGCAAAGACTTCCTTATTGACATCCAAAGGCCTGTGCAAAAGTTGCAAGAGTTGGACCACATATTAGTTAAGGAACAGCCTGATATTTTTCTCTAAGGTGCGATTCTGTGAGAATGACTATGTACCAGACAATATCATCACCATCCTATCACTGGATGTGACACAGTCAGAAGTGTTGCCATAGTATCCTCAACATTAACTCCTGAACATGAAGTCTCATGGCATCATATCAATCATTGGGATTCAAGCAAAATACAATCCCATGCGCCTGTAAATCAATTCAATGTTCAAGGAATTTCATTAAGGTGTTGTACTCATTGTTAAAATAGTTATCAATTTAGCCGTTACAATTTTTATTTTCTAATTTATCACTGAACTATATCTGTCTGTCTGTCCATCTGTAAGAAAGTGGGAGTGGTGTTTAAACAAAATTGTGCTTAAATCATAGATATTAAGTAGATTATCTTGTTTATTCACATTCTGCTAAAGTTACATTACTAATAACAAATCATTAAGTTGTTTTTTAAGTGCAAATTTGGTGATGATGTGAGGGCATTAGAGAGAGTTCAGAAAAGACTTAAGAGAATATTTTCATGGATGAGAGACTTCAGTCACATGAATAGAGAAGGGGAGGTTGGAAAGAGCTTTGATCTGGATAGAGTGGAGAGGGAGAAACAGCTTTCATTGACAAAAGGAGAGGAACCAAAGGATGCCGGTTTAAGGTGAATGGTAGAAGAACCAAGAGCGGCACAAGGAGGAACATTTTTAGACAATAAGTCGTTAACATCTGAAGTGCTCTAACTTAGTATGTGGTACAGGCAGATTCAATTACAGTATCAAAATGGAACTGAATCATTATTTCAAGTGATTTGTGAAAGAAGCTAAGGTGGAGTGAGGAGAAACATCAGGTTAGGGAATGGAAAGCAATGCCAGGCGACGTGTGAAAGGCAGGTCAAATTGAGGCACTCATGAGGGTATTGGATGATTATCTGGATAAAAATAAAAGGTACAGGGAAAAAAGCAGGAGATTGGCATAATGGGCTGAATGGTCCCTTTCTGTGCTGTAACACTTCTCGGATTCTGGGAAGATAAAAAAAAAAATTATGGGGCTACGTGGAAAGGATAGGGGAATGGTATGAGCTGAATGGCTCTCACAGACAACTGGCAAAGATATGAAGGGCCAAATGGCCTCCCATTGTGTAAGAACTATTCTGTGATTCTACATTATACTGTGTTGTGCATGAAAATATTTAGTTTTCAATGAAAATGAATACAAAAATTATTAAAACTTAATTTATCTTAAATGATACACTGCTAATTACTTGAAACTCTTGTGTTCACTTACTTGGGCAAGGATGGCAAGGCTCGTTCTCCTTCTGCGGAAAAAGGATCAAGAAATTTAAGCAGATAAACAACAGTTTCTTTTTTAAGCTGAGTTGTATTACTGCTTTTACTAAATCAGCACACATTGCTTTAAAGATGTAAATTAAAGAATCCAGAATACCATGACTCAAACCATCTACAATTACTGGGACACCCAAACTGAAACACAAAATGCTGCAATAGCCAACTGAACCCAAATAAAAAGACGTAGTAAATCATGAGTTAATCCAATCTTCTGTAAATGAGTTTGGTCTATTTCTAAATTCTTTCAATTATTTTTTGTTCCATATTAATTCATTTCTAGTTATGTAAAGATGACCAGTTTTACCGAATGATGAGTGGTGATAATAAAACCCCAAATTCCATCAATTTTTAATTGCATAACTTATTAGAGAAGATTGAAGGTATAACTTCAAAACTTCAGAGGAACAGAAAAGATTAATTGCTTGCAAATAATTGCAGTAATTGCAAATATTGGCTCTCCTAATTAGGTCTGGATACCAACTGAACCCATTTTGCCTCAAACTGTAAGCAGACTTGCTGTTCTGTGTATTTCAGTCTTCAAATTACAATCTGCATGGCTCTAAGTTGGTATTTATTCTTTCATTTTGTACAAAATTTGAATCAGAATTTGTAATAATGAATAATGTCACCCCAACTACAAACCAGAAGTGCAGGAATCCCATTAAGGTATTTTAGTTTTGTTTATTTATTCAGGGGATGAGACATTTCTATCAACACCAGTCCAAATTGTCTTTGAAAAGGTAGTCAACTACATTTCTGAACTGCTGCAGTGAGTATGCCTTAGGTATACACCTAAGTACTGTTCGGAAGTAAGTTTCAGGACCTCGACACAGTGACAATAAAGAAACAGACGATAAAGGAAGAGGTGGCAAAGATAGTAAGATCTGCCGATGCTGGAGTCAGAGATAACACAGTGTGGAGCTGGAGGAGCACAGCAGGCCAGACAGCATCAGAAGAGCAGGGAAGTTGACATTTCGGGTTGGGACCGTTCTTCAGAAATGGGGGAGGGGGAAGGGAGCTCGGAAATAAATAGAGAAAGAGGAGGGGTGGGGCTGGGGAAGGTAGGTGGGATGGTGATAGGTGAGTGCAGGTCGGCAGGTGGGGATTGGTCAGGGAGGTGGGAGGAGCCGATAGGTGGGAGAGAAGATGGACAGAGATAGTAGGAACTGCAGATGCTGGAGAATCCGAGACAACAAGGTGCAGGGCTGGATGAACACAGCAGGCCAAGCAGCATCATAGGAGCAGAAAGGCTGACGTTTCGGGCCTAGACCCTTCATCAGAAAAGGGGGAGGGGATGGGGGTTCTGAAATAAATAGGGAGAGAGTGGGAGGCGGATAGAAGATGGATAGAGGAGAGGATAGGTGGAGAGGAAACAAACAGGTCAAAGAGGCAGGGATGGAGCCAGTAAAGGTGAGTGTAGGTGGGGAGTTAGGGAGGGGATAGGTCAGTCCAGAGAGGACAGACAGGTCAAGGAGGCGGGATGAGATTAGTCGGTAGGAGATGGGGGTGCGGCTTGAGGGGGGAGGAGGGGATGGGTGGGAGGAAGAACAGGTTAGGGAGGCGGGGACGAGCTGGACTGG